ATTTACAGTTTGTATAGATGTACATTTCAGTCGATGAAATATGCTTTTGAATCAATAGCACGTGCTTTTTTTATTACCAAAGATGTATTCGAATACGTTCAAAAACAGACGCTATAGAATTTGCCATGCTATAAAATTGACAGTACGTGCAGTAAAATTGTAGTCATACTTATTTAAATTAAAGATGTTAGGTATTGTTTTGTTGAAATGATTTGTTAATATGAAAACATATTTCTACTATTTAATAGCATTTGCATTTCATATAAAAATATTATGTCTTAAACTTAAAAAAATAATTTATTTAACAATGATAAAAATAAAGATTAAAGAAGATTTATAAAATAAGGTAATTAGGTTATTGAACATTTTTTTCACTGAATATTTGCTATGCTTACTTAAAAAATTAATTTTTTCTCTCACAAGCGGTGATAATTTCATCAGGTTTGTATATAAGGAAGTTCAAACAACATATTCATTTAAATGTATTATGATTGTATGTATGCATCCCTACTAAAAATAAAATCAGGAATGGTCAGACAAATGGTCAGGCCGCCTGACCACTTTAATCCAGTTTTCTTACGATTCTGGATGGATCTCGTCAGAAATCTATCACAACTGATCAGGAGGAAGTTTAAAGTGGTCACAAGTTTGCTACTATCCCCTCCTCTTTGTTGACCCCGCCCATAATTGGTGACTATTTGAGACCATTTGTATCTCATTTTTGACCATATTTTTAAGCCACTTCTGTTTTATTTATTTAAACAATATGCAAAAAGTTGCAACAAATTAATTTTAAAAAATATATTTTATTAATTAATATCAGTTTGTTTACATACGGAACAACTTGAAACTATTTCCCGGAATTAAATTAAAATTTGGACCCTACGGGGATCGAACCCCGACGCATGACCTAACCTAGTGCCTAAACTAACTGCCCTAACGACTGCGACTACCGAACCGACTTACATATTTCTGGATTCAACTGTCTATATAAAGAGCAACTGTAAAATAGTAAAATTCAATTACCAATATTACCAATAAATCAGAATAAACTGTTAAATAATTTTTATTAATTAATTATATTTCAATTTAGTCATAATAGGTTATGTGAATTAATAAAAATTAACATTATTAATTGAATCAATAATAAATTAAGTCTTAACTTTACAATTTGGAATGTTTCATAAACTATAATACGAATACAGATTAATAATAATTATTATTATATCTGCATTTAAAATAAATTTAGTATTTAATATTAATTTAATTTAACATTATAATTTATAATAATAATGAATTATTAATGCAATATTGAAATTTTTATAAATTTTAAATTTAAATTATTAATAATCATTATAGTAAGAAATTATTCTATTAATGATTAATAATAATTTAAATATAACTGTATTTCAATTATAATGCAAATACTTCTCATAATAAGTACTGACTGGTATAGTAAATTACTAATATTATGAAACAAAATTTATTATTAATTAACTATATTAAATAATTACAAGTAAATATACATATATTAAATTAATATATTATAAATATACATTACATAAATATATTAAATAATTTTAAAAGAATGGTCCGAATGTTTTGATTTATTTACCTACTTTTGCTGTATAATTAATTCAATAATTATACCAATTTGAAAAATGAGAACTTTTGTTAAGTTAAAAGAACAATTTTTATAATAGAATAATGTATTCTGAAATGTAAAAAATAAATTTGAAAGATTTGTATATATAAATTTTCATGAGACTTTACCAAAATTAGAAAGATGTACCAAAATTTTTATAGGTTATGTGTTCACACATTTCAGAAATAGTCAAGAATTTCAGAAATGGTCAGGAATTTCAGAAATGGTCACAGCTTCGAAAATGGTGGGAGTAAAGTGGGAGGAGCTTGGAAAGTATTTGGTTAGGAATGGTGAGAAACGTTCGAAAATGTCAGAAGTGGTGAGACTGTTCAGGAATGTTCAGAAATTCTGACCATTCATGACGATTCCTGATTTTATTTTTAGTAGGGATGTGTAATGTTAAATAGTGTGTTAAGTTTATATTGTGATAAATCATGAGTGTATCTTGAAATAAGATTCAGATGTATAAGAGAGCAAAGATATGTTTATTTCTTCAAATATTTTTTTTTATAAAAGCAACAGTTTTGATCATTAAAACTATAGCATCATGCTATAAATTCTTGTTCATGTACTTTAAAATTGATAGCAGGGTAAGAATTCCTGAAGTGGGCCCCTATTTTTCATTGGGTCGGTGGATTTTTCTCATTCTTATATGTTTCGATAGCCTATGATGGCATAATAAAAACTTGTAAATAGTTTTTCGAAATTCGAATATTTGCCAAAGTTATTCAAGGTCAAAGTTATTTGTAGCGTTTTAGTAAATAGCTAATTACTCGCGATCGGATGAACCGATTTTAATAAAAATTGGAGGAGAGTTTACCTAAAGAATTGTACTTTAGATAAATGATCAAAATTTTAATTAAAAAATATAATTTGTTTAAATAAATTAACTTTTCAATTTTTGGGGTTAAAAAAAAATTTGTTCTCCATCTTTTTTTTGGATTTTTTTTTAATAATCAAATAGAGAATACTTTTAAGATTTTATTTCAACAATAAAAAAGTGGGATTCTCTATCACTTTAGAAAATATAATATTTTTAGTTACAAAATTTTTTGAAAAGTTAAAGAAATTTGAAGCAAAACAAATGAATGAACTAAACTTGGTTGGTTAAAATTGTCGAGTTTAGTTCATTCATTTGTTTTGCTTCAAATTTCTTTAACTTTTCAAAAAAATTTGTAACTAAAATATTATATTTTCTAAAGTGATAGAGAATCCCACTTTTTTATTGTTAAAATAAAATCTTAAAAGTATTCTCTATTTGATTATTAAAAAAAAATCCAAAAAAAAGATGGAGAACAAATTTTTTTTTTAACCCCAAAAATTGAAAAGTTAATTTATTTAAACAAATTTTATTTTTTAATTAAAATTTTGATCATTTATCTAAAGTACAATTCTTTAGGTAAACTCTTCTCCAATTTTTATTAAAATCGGTTCATCCAATCGCGAGTAATTAGCTATTTACTAAAACGCTACAAATTACTTTGACCTTGAATAACTTTGGTAAATATTCGAATTTCGGAAAACTATTTACAGGTTTTTATTATACCATCATAGGCTATCGAAACATATAAGAATGAGAAAAATCCACCGACCCAATGAAAAATAGGGGCCCACTTCAGGAATTCTTACCCAGCATGCGCTATTGATTCAAAATAAGGTAGAAATCAAATCACTAGTACACTATTAAATTTATAACAGATTTAATTATATCTAAAAATGGATATCTTGATATTATAGTAGGTATTTTTAGTTAATACTATAACTTCTGTAATAATATTATATAAAATTAATTTTAATCTATAGTGCAATAATCAATAGCACATGTTATTGAATCAACAGTATTTGTATTCGAACGATATTGAATATGCCGTTTAATGCGACAAACAAATATGTCATTAATTCAATAACATTTTTTTCTCAGTGCAAGTACTACAAAATTACAAACTTTAAGAAAAAGCGGTGATCCACCATTTGCTTTTCGTATGGCCCTTTTCGTAACTGCCCAGTAAACGAAAACTAATTGAAATGAATTAAAAAGAATTCACAAAGAGCTTTCGTGAATCCCGCTTTGTGACAAATACGAATTGGAGCCTACCAAAAATGTTAATTCGTTTCAATTCATTTGAATTAGTTTTTTTTTACTGGGTGCCCTGTACCGAGACGATAGTTTCTTGACTTCTTGTTTACAAAAGCATTCAGCCACGAAAACAAATTTTTTATCTGTTTTACTAAAAAAAAACTGTTTACGACGATTGTCTTGTGATTTTTTCACTTTTTTAGGAGGTGTTTATTATGTAAATAATAACAGTTCATTAACTATATAAAATTATTTATAACTGGCAAGGGTTACAGAAGAAGGAAAGCATATGTTTTTTTCTTTGTTGAATCGTAAATTGTAGTAAATAATCGTTTTATTCAATTTCGTATAGGTGCGGGCAAAACCAACCAACCAACCTAATAATATATTTCATGAACACTTTAAATTAAAATAAATTATCAATATTATATTATAAACTTAAAACTGTTTCTGTGATTGAAGTAATTAAAATTGTAATATCGAAAAAAATTTAATTTGTTTATATTTTCAAATTTGAATACAATTTCAAAAGCTTCATATGTATATAGACAGGAATATTTGATGGTATACACTGACTGCAGCAGCGCCTCGGTAGCGAGATGACGCAACTTTGTATATCTGACAATTGCATTGCAGCTGGCCCCCCTGGTTTTTTGGTTAAAACAGAAAGTGACAGTTACGCATTACCTACCGAAATGTTGTTACCTACTGAATGTTAGCGGACAAACAGCACACTACAGAGAGCAATCGAGGAACCTACAATTTCACGTAAAGGCCAACGCAGAATGAATACGGATACAGGAACAGGACATTGCTTTGGCCCTATGTTGCTACTTTAATTTTATATATGAAGCTGCATATATGTACCTGTACCGCAACGATTTTAAAAATGAACACGAAAAAATAGAGACGATACTTAAGCACGTAATATAATATTACACTGCAATAATATAGTAATATTGTGGTAATATTTGAATGTAATATTAAAGTAATTTTAACGTAATATTTCATGGTAAACTGAGATATATTTTTTTCAAAAAATGTTCAATTGGTTTTCATTGCTATTTTCCCTTGCTTACTTAAAAAAAATTCTCAAAAGTAGTATTACAAATGTTCATTGTAATATTACTGTGATATCAAGGTATAGGCTCACCACCTTTTCCAGACGTTTCAGCCGGCCGTCTATGCATTACCGAAGGGAGGGGGGTGTCAATACATGGGAAACAAGCTTTGTTTCAGCCGGCAAAAACCGGCCAAGGTGGCAGCCATGGAGTATAGTAATATTACCTGCTGCTTGGTATGTTGCATATATGTTATTTATTGTTAACTGAGTCATTTTTTAATATTGAATAGTATTGGAATAATTTTTTATTCAATAATAGTTCGGTAAAAACTGTTGATAAAATTAACTATAACAAAATTGAAGTATAAAACAATTTTTAAATAATGTCCTTATTTTAGCTGACTAACCTCTCTTGCAGTTGCGATAGTGTTTTAATCAATTATAATTGATGTACACTCTGATTAACTATCAACATTACATTATATTTAAAAGAAAATTATTAGCATGCACTTAGGAAACCTTATAAAAACACTATTATTGAATGTTAACAAAGAGAAACATTATAGTAAACATAACATCATTGCTGCGGACTGTGGATTCTTTGAAATTTTCGTTAGTGATACAATAGAAGTTTTATCATTCTATCTCGTTTTATTTTTTGCCAAAATCTAACATTATCTCTTTCTAGTAATATGGCGCACGCGCAAATTCATGTTACGTATCAGCTGTTCTTTTCCTTCTTTATTTTTCTTTATTTAATTTCCTTAATTTTAACTAATATTATTTTAAAGCGTAAATTTTAAATATCACCTTATATTTAATATATAAAATTATATTTCCTGCATTTACTCGTTTTTGAGATAATAATTCCAAAAAGAAATTGTACTTTTAAATTAAATTTCCCGCGACAGCCATTTTAATTTCTTGGTTTATAAACGAAAGGGAAACGGAAGTACGTCAGTCACTGGACAAGAAACGGAGAATTGTATCTTTTCTTGGTTAGGTTCTGTGGCAGGCACGTTGTCGGAAAGGTAAGCTCCCTTGTTATTTTCTTATTTTTACATGTCAATTTCGTTTTTAAGCACTAAATAGTGATAAAATTTAGTGGAATTTTGTTACTTTTGGTTATTAAATTGATTACAATTTTCGGAAACAAAGGAAAGTTATAAACAATTGCAAAGCAGTTTGCAATACATTTCTCTGTCAGGCACATGCAAAACGTCTTAAAACGAAATTTACAAGTTAATTATTTCCGTAACATAATTTTTTACAATCAAGAAATATTTTTCTGGAATTTCTTAAACAGTGTTAGTTGTTTAAATTAAAATTGTATTTGATTTAAAAAAGAAAAGCGTATTTTTAGAGAAAGTTTTAATTTTTCGAAGATGGTGCGTATTAAATGTTTGTATGTCACAAAGTAATTTTCAATTTTCCTCCAAATAGATAAGCCACAATGCAGATCTTTGTTAAAACTCTTACTGGTAAGACCATAACCCTTGAGGTTGAGGCTTCAGATACTATTGAAAATGTGAAGGCCAAGATTCAAGATAAAGAGGGTATTCCTCCAGATCAGCAGCGACTTATTTTCGCTGGTAAACAACTTGAAGATGGAAGAACTCTTTCCGATTACAATATTCAAAAAGGTAAGAAATTTAATTTCAATTTATTTTAAAAATTTGTAAATTTAACGAAAATCTATTTTAAAGTTGTACTAAATTAACTAACTTGAAAAAATACCTTAACAATAGAAATTAATAAATATTAAATAATAAATCAATAAATTTAATTCATAGAATCAACTCTTCACTTGGTGCTTCGTCTTCGTGGTGGTGTAATTGAGCCAACTCTCAGGATTTTGGCACAAAAATACAACTGCGATAAAATGATTTGCAGAAAATGTTACGCACGTCTTCATCCACGTGCCACAAATTGCCGAAAAAAGAAATGTGGACACACCAATAACATTCGTCCCAAAAAGAAGCTAAAGTAAACGCGGATTCTTTTTCTTTCATCAGGTCATGAAAAATGTATATTTATTCTTTTTTTTCATACATTACAAAAAGTAACCAAGACCTGTATGTTTTTACACTTTCGATTTAAATAAATTCTAAATCGAGATTAATTATGAATTTTTTCTTAACCACATTTTAAAAGTAAATTACTCATAGAACTGTTACTTTCGTTTGATAAAAAATATCTTTCATTAAAAAAATTATATTTTCAGAAATAATTTTCTTAAAACAATTTTGTTTTCAACTTTTATTAAAACTAAAAGTATTTCACACAAAAGAATCTTTGAAAGTAACTTACAACTATTTACATATTTACAAACTCAGGATTGCCACCGACAAAAATTTTATTCTTTTTCCCTGTTCCCTGTTAAAAAAAAATTCGAGAGGTGTTCAGTTATAAAAAATAATTTTTTATTTAAAAACCTTAAAAGTTTTCTACCTATTTTAAAAATAAAATTACTGCCGCTAATTCTCCTTGATTTAAAACAATAAAATTCTTTAAAAATTATAGTAACTCTTTCGAAATTAAATTATTTTATATGCAATTTGAACCCTTTAATGTTGCTTTTTAAACTAAAAACAAATACATTTGATTGTTACTCTATGTAAAAATCAATTATTTACCAACTATTGCATTAAAATTTTTTGAAAAAACCAGTTTTTAAAAATTTTTAATAATTTGAATTATTGTTTCCTCATAGAGAAAGGATTTTCAATTCAATTTAATAAAATTCAATTATATTAATTTTATAATTCTTTAATAAAATGTTTTAAAAAATTGCAAGAATCACAGTTAGTTCTTTTTTTTACCTCTCTTTTTCTTTCAAAAATTTACAAAAATGGTAATTTTTTGTAAGTTAAACACTTTTAGATATTTTTAAAAAAATGTCTACATTTTGAAAACTTTGGGAAAATTTTTGTTTTTTAAAATTTAAAACTCTTTTTATATTATTTTTTTAAAAGTTTTTAAACAGAATTTTTTTATACAAGGCAACAAATATAAAATAACTTTTACTACTTACAAAGAAAAACCCGAACTGTTTAAAAATTTTACTAGTAAATTTTACTTTTCCCACAGTTAATTTATAGATTATTTACAGAGTAAATTTTACTACTTCTGCGGTAAAATTTTATAAAAAAATGGTTTTTTGCAAATAGTAATTTATAAATAATAAATTTTAAAACTAAATTGACTTATTTTGGAGGAAATTTTACTAATTTTGACTGAAAGTTTCTTTAGATATATATAGTAAAATGTGTAGAATTTTGAAATAAAAGAAGCGTTACAGTAATTAATTACTTATTGTTTAATAATAATTAATTAATTTGAAAAATACCTTTTTTTTAATCAGAATCTCCTTTTAAAAATGATAATCCCTTTTTTTACTTAGGATATTACATAAAAAAGTTACTGCGAGAAGAAATTGAATTAAAATTTCTATTAGTTTCAGAGTTTTAAATAAAATTATCAAGACTTGAACCAGTGAAAGTATTTAAAAATGCGGACTTTAGGGACCAAACATGAAAAATTACGCATCAATTACTGACAAAAATATAACCAGTCAGAGTCAGATAAGACTAATAAGAGAACATTTTACTTAAAACTATAAATTCAATTTTTCATAACTATAAAACATGAAGATATCGATAATCGATTTCTTTGTTTTATAATAATTAATGATGACCGAGTGATAAAATCATTGTCAATTCAATTATTATTTTCAAGAATTTTTGACTAAAATTCTTCTTTAAATCGATTATTTTTAATAGCTTTCATGTATTGTAAACAAATCGATTTGTTTACAATATTCAATTTTACGAAATTACAATTATTCGTAAATTCTTCAATTATAATTATCTGTGAACGCGTCTGAGAAAAGTGACCTTATGACCAAAAAAATTGATTTTTAGATTTAGACGGTTTCTTACACTTTAAGGTCCTTCAAATGTAATCCAATTAGTCCCGAGTAAAAAAAAATTTTTTACTTCGAAAAAATTTTTCAATGAAAATATATTTTTTTATGACGAAAATGATTATAGGTATTTTTGCTTAAAATCAGTAATTTTAATGAAAAACTATAAACACATTTTAATCAAAAAATTGAGTTTGGTCATAAGGTCCCTTTTCTTAGACGCGGTCACATATGTTAGAAAATAAAAACTTATTAATATTATAAAAAAATTCAATTAAACTTTTTCAAAAAAAATTAATTTAGGCTTCACAGTCTGTGCCCTATTTCCCTAAAAGTCCCCTTTTTTTAATTTTGGCCCCTAAACGTACCCTATTTTGAAAATTTCCCCTATTTTTCTCTTTTATCTTTTAATGATGAATTCACACTAAATTTAACAATCTGCCGTTGAAACTTTCAATTGGAAACTTTCGTTTTGGTGAAGTCAAGTCTCAATTATGTTTAGAAGTTGGTTGTATTTGTGTGTATTTTAAATTCTTATAATCTGCACAAACTTGTTATGACATACATTACAGTACCAGCTAAAATTTTGTTCGGTAAGTATAAGTTTTGAAAGATGATAAAATTTTGAAAATAATAAGACTTTACAGAAGTCATTTGGCCAGTACTTTATTCAGATATTTTTAAAAAATCGTCATTTTCAATGTTTTACAAAAATTTAAATAACTTCTAAAATAATGAACGCTTTTTAATGATCTTAAGCTTATTTTAAAGGTCATTTTATGCAGAATAAGAATTACTTATAGGCATTAACCTGTAATTTTTTTCTTAGAATAAGCAGGTCGTCAAAGTTAGACAAAGAAATTCAAAAAATTTGAAAGAATTTTTTTGTACTAAAAACTATTCTAAAGTAGTTATTTATGATACAAGTGCGTCAAATCGTTGATTATACGAGTGTGACGTTTGCAGCTCGAGCCGATGGCGAGTGCTGCAATTCACACAAGTGAATGGAATGCTGCAATTCACAAGCCATACGAAATTTTTTGCAACACTAAAACAACTAAACTTGCAGCAATATTGCCAACATTACTGTAACTTTAGGTGTAGTGGGGAACTGTTAAATGAAGTTTTCTAGAAGCTAAAATAAAAAGATGTGATTGTAAATTGTTAATTAAAAGCATTATTTCATTGTTTCTCATCAAACAGTCACAAGAATGCGTAAAGTAACCTTTTTACGCACTGAAAATCACTTTACACACTGGAAATCACTTTACACACCTCTATAAAAAGTAGAACTTTACACACAGTTCTCAGTGTGTAAACTTCAATTTTACAGGTTAGTGTTGCAAAAAATATATAAAACATGATATGGTGGAGATTTTTCAAAAAAATTTAATAAAAAAAATTTGTTTAAAAATTTTTTTTGCAACACTAACTTCTAAAGTTAAATTTTACACACCGAAAAGTATGTGTAAAGAACCTCTTTATAAAACGGTGTGTAAAGTGATTCACTTTACGCACTGATATGTATGTTTTAATGGTTGTGCATGTATACATAGTATATATACTATGTATGTATGTATATGTTTTTTTATGTTTTATGTTTCATTTTCTTATACATTCGTATATATAAAAAAATAAAATAAAATATATATACAGTGGAACCTCGATTATCCGAACCTCTGTTATCCGAACTTCTGTTATCCGAACTTTGTTTTGGCCTCCCAAATCTTTCAAAGCAAAATAACGAAATTTATGCTAAAAAAATCTTTAAAAAATTCTGAATTCTCTGTTTTATTAATATATTATTATAAATTTATATATATATTTACATATATATATACTTATGTATGTTTAAAAAAAATGTAAATATAGTTCAACTATCCAATTTTTTTACTTTAATTATGAAAAAAATGAAAATCTCTATTATCCGAACCAGGCCTTGTCTAGGTTAGTTCGGATAATCGAGGTTCCACTGTATTATATAAATACAAATGAACAACTACAATCCCCCCATAGTTACTACACTTGTATAGAAATGTTGTCCTTATATTATCAATATTTTTGCAAAATTCGGTGAGGGTGGAAGGTGAGAGTTGCAAAAAATGTTGTATGACACTCGTGCGTAAAGCTGATTATACAAGTGTGACATTTGTATAATCACTCACTTTACGCTCTTGTATCATAAATAACTATTGTCTAACTTATTCAAAGTCCTGCTTATTCAAAGAAAAAAAATTATAGGTTAATGCCTGTAAGTAATTCTTATTCTGTAGAAAATGGCCTTTAAAATAAGCTTTAGATCATAAGAAAGGGTTCATTATTTCAGAAGTTATTCAAATTTTTGTAAAATATTGAAAATTACGATTTTTTAAAAATATCTAAATAAAATACTGACCAAATGACTTCTGTAAAGTCTTATTCTTTTCAAAATTTTATCATTTTTCAAAACGTATACCGAAAAAAATTTTAGTTTTCATAAATTTTGGGTTAAAATATTTTGGCCGGGTACTGTATTTATAAAAGACTAAATTATTTTTAAAAATGTAATAATTGGTGAAATTTAATTATTATGATTGTGTAGATGTTCTTTAAGATGTAAATGGATTAAAAACTTGTTTTTTGTTTATTTAATTCATGTGTTAAAAAAGAATCTTAGTTTAATAATTAAACTGAAAACAAAATTTTATGAAAATTAAAATTAAGAAAATAAATTTTTGTAAAAATAAATATTTTGAATTTATATTTGAAACTTAAAGACTTGTTAAATGTAAATTAACTTTTACCGTTGTACTCCTTATTGTACTGTACAATTTCTTGAAGCAGAATTTAAAAATTGTACTAAAGTTTGTGTTCTTATAAATAAATTATATTTTTATCTTTATTTAAACAATTTTTGTAGTCCCCTAAAAGTCCCCTATTTTTTAATTTTTAGTCCACTATTTCCCCTAAAATACTTTTTAGGGGCACTGTGAAGCTTGTTAATTTCAAAATTCAATTATTTCTAAATATTCACGCAATATTGATTTTAATATTCAATTATTATCTAAAATTTTAACTAAAATTCATTTTTAAATTAATTTTTATACGAAATTTGAATCTTTCTTAAAATTCATTTTCCATAAGGAATTTTATCAACATTTTTAAAATAATTGAATTCTTTCGACGAATTTTAATAAAATTTTTAAGAGTTTTTCGAGAAATTTGATTAAAATTGTATTAAAAATAATTGGAATTCTGCGATGAGTTTTATTATTTGTGAAAATAATTGAATCCCCAAGAAGAATTTTATTATTTTTGAACAATATTCAATTTTAGCGAAGAATATTATTACTCTTGAAAATAATTGAATTTCTGCAATAATTTGTAACTTTTCAAAAATAAAATTTTTTTTGCGTTTTTAACTAAAATTCTTCTATAAAATGCATTATTTTTAATAATTTTTGATAAAGATCTTTAAGAATTTTCAAATTTATATGTTTACAATTCAATTTTACAAAATTTCAATTATTCGTAAATTCTTCAGTATTAAATACATTTATTTGGAAATAGAAACTTTAAATAATTTCAAAAAAACCACAATTAAACTTTCTCAACAAAATTAATTCCACACAATTGTTAATTAAAAGTATTAAAATTCAGATTATTATTATTTTAATTTGAAACCTTTACAAAATTCAATTATTTCTAAAAATTCACGCTTTAATGATTTTAATATTCAATTATAATATAGTATATAAAATTTTAACTGAAATCTATTTTTAAATTAATTTTTATTAGAAAATTCAACTAGAATTCAATTATTTAATTATACAAAAAACAACTTATTGAATAATTGCATGTTTTTTAAAATTGAATTCTCATAAAGAATTTTATGATTGACAAAAATAATTGAATCCGTGTAAAAATTTTATTATTTATGAAAATAATTGAATGATTGCGAAGAAATTAAAAAAAAGAATTTGTAAATATGTAATTGAATTCGTGTGAAATTTTTATTATTTTATGAAAGTAATTAAAGGTTTGCGTAGAATTTTATTAAATTTTTTTAAAATAATTGAATTCTTTCTTTCTTTTGAAATTTTGAAGAGAATTTAAAAAAATTTTTAAACATAATTATAATAATTGAATTTCTGCAATCATTTGTAATTTCTCTAAAATTCTCCAAATTATATCGTACAATTTACGAACTTTTCGTCTTTTCTCAATCAAATTACTGACTTTTACGGACTTCATCAAATTTACGGACCTTTTGCGGAATTTACGGACCTAGTTCGAGCCCTGAATTATTTAGAACATAAATTATTTTTCGTTTCTTGAAAATAATTAAAATTTTCGAAAACTTTAGTTTAAAACTTTTTGATATTTAATTACGAAAATTGCAACTATTTTTATTTAAAATCTTCTCTAAAATAATTATAATAATTAACTTGAAGAAAGCTATTTCCTAAAATGCAAATACTTACTGAAAAAAACTTTAAAATGTTTCTTGAAAAAACAAAAACCAGAATTTTTTACAAATTCTCGATTTGATACTTTTTTTTGTAATTTTGATAAAATTCCTAAAAATTTCTCTGATTCTCCTGACTTCTTTGACCCATGGCAACCCTTGAAATTACAATAATATTTACAAACAGTGTAAGATTTTCTCTTGATTAAAATTGATATAATATGATTTGAAAAAGATGAATCAGCAGGAAATATTTCCTAAAAGTAGTTGCTGTTGATGGGCATATTTCTCATAGAGTGTCATATCATTTGGTCTCGGCACTGAACCACCAACTTTTCCTCTTTTAACATACTGTTCATAAATACTGACACTCGTGTCGGTGACTTTTGGCAATTCAGTTTTAACAGGCAGATGATTTGGAAATGTCGCTTGCTGCACTAATTTCGAGCGTATTATTGAATGATCCATAGGTCGCGTTGCATTTCTTCCAATCACAACGTATCTTTTATAAAGAAAGATATCATTTCTCTTTGGATTCTCTGGCTGTGTACCATACACCTCTTTCATTGATGGAAATAAGCATTCAAATGAAATCATATCTGAACTGTGTTTAGAAATGCTCAAAGACGAATCGAGCATTTGATGACTTTCATCATCGTCTGAACTTGTATCGATACTTGAACTGCAAACAAAAAATTTTTCCACGAGTTTGATTTTTATTCTTTGATTTAGATTTTTATAGTAAGAGAATATTTTTACCTAGCACTGGATGCAGTACTTCCGGTGCTGCTCTGACCAGTTAACGATGGATTTTTCATATTTATATTTTTGTTTCCAGTTTCCTCTCGTCTTCTACCGGGACGTACACGAACTGCAAACGGACTGAAATTTGTCGTGAAATTCGGCATGAAATCACGAACCGAATGACTCACTTTGTAGGCATAAACTTCCGCAAGTACTGACAGTTCATGGGGACTGAAATTAAGAGTAAAGTGCAATTTCAATTAACTCCTTCGTTAGTTGTTAACTTGATTAAGGATTTAAAAAATTTTATTTTCTTCGCCCAAAACTAAATTTTGGTAAATTATTCTATTATTTTTACCGATAATAATCGTAGTAAATGTCGATCATTTCCTCTTGGGAGTGTTGAACTTGAATAATTTCGGAACATGTTTTCGTCATTTCTTCCAATGCGTAAGGTAGACACTTGAGTACATTTCTGTCACACCATTGTGTCAGTAATCTTGTTTTTCTCACATATTTGCAAGCTGGCTTATGATGAAAATAATAATCGGTCAGCAATTCCCAAATTGGTGTTTTACCTTCCTCCGGAATGAATAAACCTATAAAAATAATTGTATCCTTAATTTGCCTACTTTCAATTTAAATATTCCTCGATAATTCATATTAAAAAAGCAGTAAAAAAGTGAGTATCGAAAATTTGACGACTCAATTTATTTCTAAATTAAATTACATTCAAAAATAGAATAGTTTTTGTTAAATAAATATTTAAGTACCTATTTATCTTTCCACAGTAATTAAATTATTTTAAAGGTTTTCAATGTAAAGCCTTTTTGAAATTTTAACTATACATATATGTATTCCTAAAAATTACAACCGTAATTCCTCCAAAATTCAATCATTTTTTTGTTGAAATTTTTAAATAAAATTATTCAAAACTTTAATTATTTTATTTAAAAATAAATATTTTTAATATTATTACAGTTTTACAACAATTAAAATTTTCAAAGACTTCAATTTAAAAATCTTCTTAAAATTTAATTATTTCTAAAAATTTACACTATAACGCTTCTAATTAATATTCAATTATTATTAGGCTCACCACCTTTTCCAGACGTTTCAGCCGGCCGTCTATGCATTACCGAAGGGAGGGGGGTGTCAATACATGGGAAACAAGCTTTGTTTCAGCCGGCAAAAACCGGCCAAGGTGGCAGCCCTAAATTATTATCTAAAATTTAACTGAAATTGAATTTTAATATAATTCTTATTAAAAAGTTCTACGAGAATTCAATTATTTAAATACAAAAATAAATAATTGAATATTTTTTCTTTAAAATTCTTATAAGGAACTTAATCAAAATTTTTCAAAATAATTGAATTCTTTAAAAAAATTGTAATAAAATTTCCAAGAGAAATTGCTTTTTTCGAAGACATTATTTAAAATTCTATTAAATTAATTAAATAATTGAATTCCTGTAAAAATTTTATTATATTAATTTGTTAAAATACAAATTCAATTGTTTTTAAAAAATTTAAGTTCGTACGAGGAATTTAATTAAAATTGTACTGAAAATAATGCAATTCATCTAAAGAGTTTATCACAATTTTTAAAAATAAGTGAATTCTATCAACAAATTTTGTTAAACTTTTCAAAAATAATTAAATTTTATCAAGAAAATTTATTCAAATTCCATTGAAAATTTTTGAAATTAATTAAATTTCTATAAAGAATTTCCTTAAAATTTTCTAAAACAATTAAATTCTTTCAAGAAATTTAATTAAAAATGTAATGAAAGTAATTATTAAGGAGGTTGTTTACAGGTATGCAGACCTTCAGAAAAAAAATTAAATTGACATTAAATAATTTTTTAATATTATTGTTATTCGTATCTTCTGGAAGAACAAATATCAATTTTCAAGAAAAAAATTTGAAACTTACAAAAATTGTTTATTTAGTCATTTTGCATATGATCAAAGTTTTCTTCATATTAAAAGGTTAAACTGTTTCAAAATGATGGCTTATTTTCTTCAGAAAATGATGATTCTCTATAACTTGACCGCTCAGATTTATAAACAAATAGACCGTTTGAAAAATATGCTTATTTGTTTTAAAAAAAATTTTTTAATCACTTTTTTTAAACAAATAAGCATATTTTCAAAACGGTCTATTTGTTTATAAATCTGAGCTGTCAAGTTATAGAGAATCATTTTCTCAAGAAAATAAGCCATCATTAACTTAAATCGAATCAGTTTTGAAAAAGTTTAACCTTTTAATATGAAGAAAACTTCACGGAGAACATTTCTTTCGTAATGATTACAATAGTCTATATTACAGCTCGGATATGTGACCACTTTTTGTAATGATTACGAAAACTATGTAATTTATTAAGAATTTAGTAGGAGCGATTACTATAGTTACTTTAATGAATCCAAACACTGTATTAATCGTGTTGAAATTTATTTTTTGGAATCATTAATAGTTTAGATGTACAGGTTCAGAAAGGGTACTGTAGGCATTCACGCAGAGACTTGTTATAATTACAATAGTCTACGTTAAAAGCAAATCTTGGATTCTGTTCACATTTGCAGCGGTCTAAGGGAATCAGTGATACAGATTGTAGTAGCCTTTACAACAGGACTATTGTAAAATAAGGTGACCGCGGCTGCCTTGCCTTCTTATTTTACTATAGTTCTTCGTAAAGACTACTATTGCTATATTTCTGATTACAAATGACTGTTGTAAAGTAAAAAAGGGAATTTTCAACTAAAATAATTTTTTTTATGATTTATGACTTGCGTAAAGTACGTAAGTTACCTAATTAGTGCAATTTACAATAATTCGTCCATTACGTAACTTAAGTTATTTATGTAAGTGCAACTTACGTTATTTACGTAATTTATATTTTTACGTAGCATACATTATTTACGCAACATATATTTTACGTAACTTACGTAAGTTAACTTATTTATTTATGAGGCATTCCATTTCAAAACGACCCCCTTCGTAAACAATTGCCAATGTAAGACAATTTTCAAATGAATATTTCTTCCATTCTGTAGAACCAAATTACTTTTTATATTAGTGATTTTGAAAGTAGAATTTCTGAATTTTCTAAAAATAAAAAAATATATTTTTTTAATAATTTAATTTAAATAGAAAATTGAGTTTAAAAGTTAAACTTTGAAAAATCTCAAAACACGTTACCTCCGATTTTAATAAAATTCATATCAAACGAAAGCTCGAATATTCTACTTTTTATTTATCAAGCGATAATAATGGACATTTCAGTGGATTTTGAGAAAATAATTAAATTTTACAAACATTTCGAAGGTTATATTGAGAGAACTATTTATTAAGTATAGGGCGGCATTTGTTTTTCTCAATTTATGCATAATAACCTTCTAAATGTTTGTAAAATTTAATTAATTAATTAAAATTTACTGAAATGTCCATTATTATCGCTTGATAAATAAAAAGTAGAATATTCAAGCTTTCGTTTGATATGAATTTTATTAAAATCGGAGGTAACGTGTTTTGAGATTTTTCAAAGTTTAACTTTTAAACTCAATTTTCTATTTAAATTAAATTATTAAAAAAATATATATTTTTATTATCAGAAAGTACAGAAATTCTACTTTCAAAATCACTAATATAAAAAGTAGTTTGGTTCTACAGAATGGAAGAAATATTCATTTAAAAATTGTCTTTCATTGTGAATTGTTTACGAAGGGGGTCGTTTTGAAATGGAAGGCCTCTTATATAACTTACTTTTGTTATTTACGTAACTTGCGTAAGTTATGTAACTTACGTAAGTTGTGTAAATTATATAACAATTTATACAGGCAAGAAATCTTTTACCTTCGGTGCGTGTGTTAGAAAAAAAAATTTTCACTATGGAAATGTAATAAAAAATAGACCTTACAATATTAAAGACTAACAATGAACAATAATTGTATTAATTATTGAGAACGAAGTGATTTTTTTACATTTAAAGGGTATAAGTCTTTCTCGCAAGCGGTGAACTTTCATAGCAGTTAGTATATAAGGAAGTTTAAGTCATGTATAAATATGTGTAAATAGCGATCATTATTATGTTATGCGTTTAGTTTTTAAGTTAGATTTATGGTTTACTTAGGGTTTAGTGAAATTGTCTAGTTTAATAATATAATTAATCTTGAAGTGGGTAGTCTTGAAAGAGTGAAATTAATGTGCAGTACATGATTAGAAGTCATGAATTACAAAAAATTTTTATTTTAGTTGAAAATTTTCTTTTTTAACTTTACAACAGTCATTTGTAATCAGAAATATAGCAATAGTAGTCTTTACGAAGAACTATAGTAAAATAAGAAGGCAAGGCAGCCGCGGTCACCTTATTTTACAATAGTTCTGTTGTAAAGACTACTACAGACTGTATCACTGATTCCCTTAGATTGCTGCAAATGTGGATAGAATCCAAGATTTCCTTTTAACGTAGACTATTGTAATCAGTCACATAGACTTTGTGCTAACTCATATTTAGTTCGTATCTATTTCAAATAAATTTTTAATGAGTACGTTCGACTTACAGAATTGTTACAACGAAGCTACTTTAGGCATTACGAAAAGTGGTCACATATCCGAGCAAGTACTGTTCGACTATTGCAATCATTAACAGAAAATTTTTCTCCGTGTTTGATCATATGCAAAATGACTAAATAAACAATTTTTGTAAGTTTATTGATATTTGTTCTTCCAGAAGATACGAATAACAATAATATTAAAAAATTCTTTAATGTCAATTCAATCTTTTTCTGAAGGTCTCCATACCTGTAAACAACCTCCTTAAATTCTAATATGGAAATTATAACAAAATTTTTGAAAATAATTTACTTCTTGTGAAGAATTTTATTAAAATTTTTAAGAATAATTGCATTTTTTAATGAATTAATTTTAAATTGTATTAAAAATAATTGAAATCCTGCGATGAATTTTATTAGTTATGAAAATAATTTAATTTTTGCAATTAATTTTATTAAAACTTTTTGAAAATAATTTGATTTCTAAGAAGAATATTTTATTATTTATAAAAATAATTATATCCTTGCGAATAACTTACAATGGGAAATAGCCATTAGTCTACCATTGGTGCATTAATGGCCCAATATTGGGAGCCATTGGTTTTCTCTAGGTTTATTATTGGCACCCAATAATAGACCACTAATGGTAAAATCGTGGGATGTCCACGCCGATGCCAATAATTGGCAAACCATTATTGGCACATTATTGGCTGCCATTAAAAAACCAATAATAAAAAAAAATTTTTATTAAATTTTATTAAATAATAAATTTATTTATTTAATAATTATTTTATTTATCTAAAAATTATTTATTTACCTCACATTCATCAGTGCAAACATATAGGAGAGGACGGGTAGAATAAAATTCCACAAATATTCGTGAGAATGCTGCCTCCTTATATATACTTTTCAAGTTTCATGTTAGTTGCGAGAGAGTTTGAAATAACACCTCCTACGGAGCGTTGAGCGAACTACGTACTTACCCGCGCTGCAGAAATTATCATGAGGTAAGTATGTAGTTCGCTCAACGCCCCATAGGAGGTGT